GTCCACGCGACGTCTCATAACAACGGGAAGTAACTCTAAAAATAAGACGGTGATTGACACTTAGGTCCTATGCACTTTTTATCGAAAACGATAAAGTTAAAGCTTAAAAACATAGCATGGGAAATTGATTAAATACAGAGGAATATGAATTTTTTACAGAGTATTTTTGGGCTAATATCATCAAGATTGCCGACGTTAAAGAAAACTATTAAGTTTCGACTGCCCTGGCTCGGATGCGTGTCTACTACGAGACATCGTTACTATGTCTTTGAATTCTTGTAAATCTTTTAATTATTATGTAGTGAACTGAACACAGTTAGAATTCAACAAAATAACGTGTAATACAAAAATACAGAGCCCCGTTAAGAGTAGTTTATATAGTACTCGTATATAACTACTCATACTGTTAAAACAGCTGGCCGACAGACCTTCAATTCATGAATTCTCACGCTTCACGGCACATTCGCAGCTGATCGACCGTGGGTAATTAGCACTATTACCTGTCCCCGTGCGCTTGGGGGGCTCCACACCACGTTGTATAAACACAATTAACTACTCAGATAGTATATTGCAGGTGTCATCTTTGAAAATGCAAGTTTTAAATTCTAAAATTTAACCATGGCGGGCGCGGATTTTAACCATGGCGCAGCAAATTTAACCATGGCGCACACAAATTTAACCATGGCGCACCTCCATGGTAAAACCCCTTGTGGAGAACCCTGATCCTAGTCCTTATAGTAAGCAAAATATACACGTTTTTATTAATTGTAAATTTAGGTCAACTTTCAAGTGACCTTGAGACCACGCCCTTTGCCCCAGGGTAATTCCCCCTGCAAATTTTAATCTTCAACATATCCTGATCCTTGTATGTAAGTTTGGTGAAAATCTGCCAGGTGGTTATGGAGAAGAAGATTTTTTAGCAACCAGTACTTTTGGTTTTGTTTTCCTGATTATCTCCCCTTGTTTAAGGGTCCCAACCCTTATTTTAGTATAAATGGTAGCCCTTGGGCCAAGGATACCCTGTGACAAATTTGGTACTGATTGGCCAAGGGGTTCTTGAGTTATGGCTAATATTCTAAAAAGGTTACGCACACCGCACAAATGGCCATAATATTAGCTCTTTGAGCCTTTGGCTCAGAAGAGCTAAAAATGGAATGACATTTTGCAACATGATATGATAAGATTTTGGCCATAGTAATCGGTATGGGACTTGTCCAGCCCTAAGATATTCAAGATCATTGGTCAAAAGATGAGTTATTGGAAACTCCAGGCCTCAGGAAAATAATGCCAAAAAATAAATTCCTGCTGATGTTGTCTTTCATGTTTGCAACAATGACAATAACACTGAAGAGGACAGGAAAGACATGATCTTATCATCAAATTAAGAAGAATATTTGACCAGCTGAAGCAGAAATTTGCAGATATATACTCTCCTGGGGAAAATGTAGCAATAGATGAAGGAATGGTTGCATGGAGAGGCAGCCTTTCATTCAGAGTCTACATGCCAGACATGCCAGACAAATTCGGGATAAAATTCTTTATGTTGTGCGACTCGTCAAATGGCTACTGCTAACAGATTGAAATTTACACTGGTTCCTCAGATGAAACATCACCTAAAGGAAAAAATCTATGACCTGTTCAACAGACCATACCTCAACCAAGGACACAAACTGTACATGAACAATTTTTTTTATCTCACCCATCTTGTTCCATGACTTGAGACAACATGATTGGGAAATAGACAAGTGTGTAAATGGTGGAATAGGAGAAAAGTGTTGTTTATCTTCCCTTATTTGAACAAATTTATTGATACAGCAACTCCTTTAGATTATTTGAGTTTGTTCATTTTCAAAGACTTTTATCAGAAAATTGCCAACGAAACAAAAGCAATGTAGTCCTGTGCCTGCGGGAAAATGGGGTATGAGACAGAACTTGGACCCCAACTTCCGATGACCAAATTCGGGCTTACTTTGGACTTAATGTTTTGAGGTGAGATTCCCCACATCACCAGTATGAGGAATATTTAAAATACAAAATGTTTATGTCCAGAGACAGGTATGCCAAACTTACGCAATGCATTTACCTGAATGCAAAGGATGCTTGTCAGCATAGAAACAACCCCCAGCATCAACCCATACACCATGTTAAGCCTCTTTATGGCATAGCAAACAGAAACTTCAAGAAATTTTTACCAACATTCAACAGAGATTTCCATTGACGAAGCCATGAAGGGTAACACAAAGAAGGACAGAACTGAGACAATAAATGCCAGCCAAACCAAAGAAATTTGGAATAAAAGCCTGGGCCCGCTGTGATGAACGAACCTTGTACATAACGTGAATCCTGACTTTAAACATAAAAACAGACAGGACACCTATACAGGAAAAACATGGATAGGGTTACAGCCTCATGAGAGACTTAATGGGTATGAATCACCATGTATACCATGATCTTCTTTTTTTACCAGTATTTAACTTGCTAATGACCTGTTTGAGCCTTTTTGAGGATGATATCTACACCTATGGAACGGTAATTCCAAACAAGAAAGATCAACCACAAACTCTTTGTGACAAGAAATCGGTTATCAAAAGACAGCACTTCCCTTGATGCGGAATTTCTGCTGCATATGAAAAGGACAATCTAACATTAACTGAATGGAATTACACCATCATCATTTTCATCCTGCACAATAACAGTTCCAGTGACCCTGTCAGGTGTGAGCATCAGGTAGGATGCAAGTGACTACTGCATTGGTTTCAATATTTACACTGGAAGGCACACCTTGCACACAGTATGCAAATGCAATTGGAGTAGATGAAGACTACACAATGACTACTAGAACAGTGATGGTCCTACTTACAAGATGTGGACTTTTAGATCGAGGACATCACATTTACATGGACAACTACTACACGTCACCTGACTTGTTTGAGGAGTTACAACTTCACAACACCTATGCTTGTGGGACACCTCGGATAAAAGAAGAGGTGTACCAGAAGCTATCAAAAGCAATGTAGAACTGAAACATGAAAAGTTATTTTCGGATGAAAAGAACCAACAGAAATGCTAACTGTAAAATACCATAATAAGCGAGACATACACATGCTGACCACCATTCACGAAGCCAACATGCAAACCTGCCAAGTAACCAGCATTCGATAGGTCACACCTGCAAAACTGGCCTCTTACCTGCAACTCATATTGACCCACAGTGTATCTTTTTACACACAAAATCAATCATCCCCACTTTTATTGCTAAATAATCCAGAGAGATGACTTAAGGACAGATGATACAAACATTTTTTTTCTTTGAAAAAGATTTAATATCATGTCAAAAGTTTAGAAAAGTGGATGGTTCTTAGAATTTTTTCTCTGAAGAACTGGAAAATGAAATAGACTTGAAAAATATAAGTAATATTTCACAAAAAAAAAAAACACATATAGACAAATCACATTTAGTAAAGGTTTACATGTGAAAACAAATTTCAGAATATGGTACCTTGGTGCTAAAACTGTAATATAAACTTTAGAAAAATATACCAAGCTAGGTGTATTTTAAGAGGAAGATCAAAATGACAAAAAAAATAAGCAATATCACATGGGCTGATTTTTACTGTTTAGCTTTTCCTAATAAAAAATAAAAAAAATATATATATATATTTTTCTTAAGTTTATATTACACCTTTAGCACCATGGTAACATATTCTGAATTTTGTTTTCACTTGTAAACCTTTACTGAATGTGATTTGTCTATATTTGTTTTTTCATTGAAATATTACTAATATTTTCCAAATTTTTTTTCATATTCCAGTTCTTAGGAGAAAAAATTCTTAAAACCATCCACTTTTCTAAACTTATGATATGATATTAAATCTTTTTCAAAGAAAAAATTTGTTTGTATCATCTGTCCTTAAACTTTTTTTTTTTTTTGACACCAGTCGGACTGTGGAAACAGAAGTGTAAACAATACAGCCAGCTGGCTATGTTTTTTTTAAATGATTTTTTATCAGCTGTTATCACTAGAAAACAAATTATTAGTAAGTGAGTTAACAATCAGTTTAAAAATGTCTTCTGGAAGCAAAAGATAATTGTCTGGGCCCTGTATAGTAACTCCTACAAGGCGTAAAAAATACACTTGCAAGTATCAAAGTTCATGGGAAAAAGTCTTCAGTGGATATAAAAATGCAGTCTTGGAGAAGATTGGACATATTGTAAACTCTGCAAGATAAATTTTTCTGTTTCTTAGTGACATATTTATTAACCCTTGTCCTGCAGGTCGTCGATAAAGCAGCGACCCGCTAAAATGGCTATCGCTGCAGGTCGTCGATATAATGCACTGCGCCATGCTTTCCATTCAGTGCCGGTCGTCACTATTTCGACTTTAGACATGTGACGATTTCTAGCTAAAATAACCAATAAAATAGTGGGAATCCCTTCAGCCCGAACCTAATTATTAAAAATAGAATAGTTTTCCTTCAATTCTTTGTTTTCATTGGCCAGTTTTAGGGAAATACCTTTATTAAAATAGTACTTGTAAACTGAAACCGCGTCGTTTGTAAATGTTGTTGATTCAAAATGGAGGTCGTCGAAGATGTGGTAGATGGAAATGCGGTTTTACAGGATGTAGACCCTGAGAACAGAGATATAATTAGAGAAATATTCATGGCCGATGATTCAGATGAGGAATTTTTAGGATTTAATCCAGAAGATCTCGACAATGACGAAGGTACGGCTGATTTCGAGGAGGACTTCATTCAAGGAAACTTGGGCGGAGACTATGGCGTTCGCAACTTACAGTTTCGTGGCGAGAAAAAAATAAACGTAGAGCTCGATGAACACGCAGAAATGGTAGATTTCTTTAAACTGTATGTTACAGATGAATTTGTTGATGAAATTCTCGTGGTAGAAACTAACAAATATGCTCAAGATTTCCTTAATTCTGCGCAAGGCCGAAACCTCAGTCTAGATTTCACAAATGGACGGACGTTACGAAGGACGACATGACGAAGTTCATAGCAATGGTAATTGCTATGGGACTAGTCCAGCACCATGACATACAGGACTACTGGAGCAAGGATGAGATGCTGGAGACCCCTTTCTTTGGTAAAACAATGCCAAAAAACAAATTTCTATTGATATTGTCACTGTTTCATTTAAACAACAATGACAATCAGATACCACAAGGACAAGATGGATACGATCCGATATTCAATGTCAGAAGAGTCTATGAACATTTCAGGACGAAGTTCAATGAACTATATTCCCCTGGAGAAAACATCGCCATTGACGAAGGAATGATAGCTTGGAGAGGGCACCTATCATTCCGGGTCTACATGCCCGACAAACCGGATAAGTTTGGTGTGAAACTTTTCATGCTTTGCGACTCGAGCAATGGATATTGCTCACAGCTCGGCTCTATCACGGAACATCAGAAAATCCATCAGAGAAGGGGAAGATCTATGACTTGGTAATGAGGCTGATTAACCCATACCTTGGTAAAATCAAAGGTCACAAGTTATACGTTGACAACTACTACACCTCACCTATTTTATTTCATGACTTATACCAGAAAAAGACGGGGGCATGTGGAACGTTACGCACCAACAGAAGAGGCATTCCCGCGGATCTGAAGACTGTAAAACTGAAAAAAGGAGAAAGTGTGGCAATGACCAATGGAACCCTTCAGCTCCTGAAATGGAAGGACAAAAGGGACGTCCACATGTGTACAACAATACTTGATGCTTCATTTGTTGATGTACCTGGACGAGTGGACCGCACGACAGGGGAACAAATTCGAAGACCAACATGCATTGTAGCATATGACAAACACCTGGGAGCAGTTGATCGCTGTGACCAGATGATCACCTACCCGGCCTTCAAACGCAGGATGCTGAAATGGTGGAAAAAAGTGTTTTTTCATCTGCTAATGATGGCCACCCTGAATGCCTACCTGTTGTACAAGGAACATTGTGCAAAATGGAGGAAAAAACCAGTTTTGCACAGGATTTTCCGAAGGGAAGTTGTGAAGGCACTTATTGGTGAGACCAGCCTTCAACCAGTAACTGTAAGGGGGGCTGTAAATCCAAGAGACATGGAGCGGCTGACTGGGCATCACTTCCTTTCCAAGATCAAGCAGAAGGAAAGTAACAAGTCTAAGCCTCTGAGGACATGTCCAGTGTGCTCTACCACAACGGGAAAGAGGAAATCTGTTGGAGAGACGGTCGCAAAACAGTACAGTCATCCTATGAATGCAGGATATGTGATGTAGGACTGTGCGTAGATCCTTGTTTTGAATTGTACCATACCAATAAGGACTTCAAACAAGCCTACCAAAGACGTCAGGACCAAAATGTGGAGTCTGATGATTCAGATTAACTATGAATGGATGTGATAATCAGCAGTGATTAAAATTTAATTGTTTGAACAAAAGTACTTTCTTAAATGATGTAAATATTATTGCTAACATCCAGGACAAAAGTAAACAAAATGAGTGTTGAGTGCTTTGGAGGACTTTGTTTATTTGAGTGTTTATTTGAGTGTTTTTGGACATTTATATATTTTATATTGTGGTAAGATTTTGGAAATATCAGCATGTTAAATAGAAGAATGAATTTCTGTACAAAATATCAATTTTTTTCAGTCAGAATTAATTAATTAATGGCAATAATTACTGATAGTCTGGTCCGATTTATAGAAAAAAATACTTCTAACGGCAAATAATTATTATTTGGTCCAGCATAGTTTTTTAACCTATTTCGAGTATGCTGAATCCGCAAAAATATGCTGGCCTACATGAAAATGGCGTTAAAGAGGTGAAAATGGCGATTCAAAATGGCGGACATCCAATTATTCTAATTTTTTCTTAATATCGTTCAAAAAGGAGAAATAATGTGTGAATACTTCACTGAGTGTAATACAAGTATAAAATAATAATACGATGCTAACATTATTAGTTTAACTCAGAAAAATTAGTAGTTTCTACACTTAATTCGAATTTCCTTTGATTTTTTGGTCTATTGATCTATATTCCGCTTTGTTCAAGATTTTACATTTGAAAATATCCATGCACTGCAGATTTGTATTTTTTCCTCTGCATCTCACTATTCTACAACTGATGAATGATGGCGCAGTTGTAAGTTAAAAGTCAAAATGGCGATTCAAAATGGCGGATATTCATCTTTTTAAAAAATTATTTCTTAATGTCGTTTACATAGGAGAAAGGATTAGTGAATATCTTACAAAGCGCAGTACAACTTTGTAAAATGCCAAAAGAACACTAATTTAATCACTTTAAATCGGAAAATTTAGTCGTTCAAATTTGAAACGTGTTAATTAGCTCAAAATGGCGATTCAAAATGACGTCTTATACACTCGAATTCGTAGAAACTCTTAATTCTGGTTCGGTTCGCAGAAAATAAATTACAGTTTGCTTTTTATATATATATTATATAAAGTATATTGATTAGTCCATTAAATATGAACAAAATATACTTGAAAACACTTAAGATTTTCCAAATTTCCCCCTTCGTATTTTACCGTACGTGTTCCAAAGCCTTTGAGCCCCCGTCCACCTAAAATCACTCCCGAATCTTGTCATTATCAACTCGCACTTCTACCTCAACATCCCTCAGCACACCATCAAATATTACTGAAGAAATTCTTGTCCGATTTCATCGAACACTTTGTTCTTGCTTTTTAGCACTTATAAGAACTTAGTATAATCCCCTAACATCTTTTATTCCATGTGTATTTGGTATATGTTTCAGTCTGTCTTCGGAATTTTGGTATTTTCAACACTCAAGTAAAATGGTGCCCCGTGTCAAGGATGACAACCCCCTTGGCATGTAAAAGATCGTTTCTCTGGAGTTCGAAAAAGAGTAAGCTCAATGGGGGCCGGCAGAGAAACCAAAATCCTTCAAAAACCGATTATTTAAACTGATAGTTCGCCGAGACATGGCTGAAAAATTGCCGACTCGGTGTTAAACAATATACAATCAATCAACCAACACTCAAAGAACAACACATTTATGTTCAAATGTTAAAAGTCTATTTTGTTATCCAAAACCATATGCAAAATGAACTAGTGGTACTGTGAGCAATTAGCTCACTAAATGATACCCCGGTCTCCCATATGAATATAATGACAGTGTCCTTGTTTTGTTATGGGAAACCCAAATTATGTGTCGGATCAAAAGGTAAAATAGGAGGTCACAATGGCAAGGCAATATGTAATAAAGATATTGTGAAAGTTTCATCAAATTTCATTCAGTGGTATGAGAGGAGTTGCGGATAAGAGATGGGTACCCCAAAACGTAACAGACGGATGGATGGACAAATCGATTACTCTATACCCTCCCGCTTTTCCCTCCCTTTTCAAGCAGGGGTATAAAAAAACTCTGGTATTCAAGACATGTAGCTCTTTAATTTGTGACCTCGTATACATTTGTTGTCTTTTAGGGTAGAAAGGTCATCCTATTAGCAAGAAATTTCTCAAACTTGATCATCTGAAATCACATTGTGTGCATATTTTGGTGAGAAAAGTTATGCAATTTAAGAGCGCCTGCAGATTCCTCCTGATTCCTATCACTTACAAGCTTTCGTACCAATAGGCCTAAGTCATTCCTGATTTCGATCTAGTCAAACTTTTCTTGACAACAAAATTTTCTTGAACACTTCAAGAACTTGATCCACACTTCTTTGTTAGGATAGTTTAAGGTTGTATCAAGAACTGAGGGGGGATTGAACACAAACATTTTCTTCTTTCAGATTTTGTAAATTTCAATATTTTTAAATTAATTCTATAGACACTGTTCAATACAAAATTATCCATTCACAGGATGAAATATTTGAGAATCAGTTGAATTTTTGACTGAGAATAACAAAATGCAAATGTAGGGACACAGAATCAGAGCTGGACAATCAAGAAAATTTTTGGTTTACGTATATTATACTGATAATTCTTAATATATATGTTTATGTTTGGATATTATAATATATTCAGATTTATATGATGTAACAATTTCTAGCCCTATAATTGGTCGTGGTCAATCATTCTAAAAATCACACTAAGTTATGTTGCACTAGACCTTCCACATGAACATAAACATTTATTTTTTTTTTCTACGCTGGACTAAAAATAGATCAAGAATTCCCAACAACTGAATGTTCACTCGCCTTAATGTTCGAGGATACTGCTCTTGGGGTAGCTTAATTTTCATATTGTCCTCAAAACAGCAATTATTATATGATATTATTAACTTTTTATATGAAGAAGCATGGTGAGACAGGTAAAAGGTAAAATGTCTTCGGAATTGTCGTCAAACATTTATCTTAACAACAGAAGTAGTTAAACAAAATCCGTGTAATAAAAATCCTAAGTCATTAACAAAAATATCCTCCAACTTTCATTGCATATTTGAATATTCTTTCATGAATAAAAAAATTATTCAAACTGTAATTTATTTTCTGCAAAACGAACCAAAATTAAGCAGTTTGGCTATTTTACAAAATTCAAGTGTATAAGACGTCATTTGAATTGCCATTTTGAGCTATGATTAACACATTTCAAATTTATCGACTAAATTTTACGATTTAAAGTGATCAAATTAGTGTTCTATTGTCATTTTACATAGTTGTACTACGCTCAGTAAAATATTCACAAATCCTTTCTCCTATGTAAACGACATTAAGAATTAAATAAATTGAAGAAAAAGATGAATATCCACCATTTTGAATCGCCATTTTGACTTTAACTTACAGCTGCACTATCATTCAATTGTAGAATAGTGAGATGTAGAGGGAAAAATACAAATCTGCAGTGCATGGATATTTGCAAATGTAAAATCCTGAACAAAGAAGAATATAGAAACAGTAGACAAAAAAAGTCAGAGGAAATTCGAATTAAGCATAGAAACGACTAATTTTTCTGAGTTTAACTAAAAATGTTAGCATCCTTTTATAATTTTTATAGTTTTATTACACTAAGTTAGATGTTCATTCATTACTTCTCTATTTTGAACGACATTAAGAGAAAATTAGAAAAATTGGATGTCCGCCATTTTGAATCGCCATTTTGACCTCTTTAACGCCATTTTCATGAAGGCCAGCATATTTTTTCGGATTTAGCATACTCGAAATAGGTTAAAAAACTATGCTGGACCAAATAATAATTATTTGCCGTTAGAAGTTATTTCTAGCCTTCTTTTTAAAAATCAGGACCAGACTATGAAATAAAATTATTTTTGCAAATTTTGTGACTTTAATCCTGTGTAACTTTTGATTAAGGCCAGCATTTTTTTATTTTTAGGTTTACGAACATCAGAATGAAAAAGTCCCGTAGGAGGAGGAAATAAAAAAAATAATAAAATTATATTTTGGATACATTATCGACTTTTCTACATTAATTTTTGCTTATTTTAATATGCTCTCCTAACAGGCTTCTTGCCACTGGACACATAAGGGTTACAGAGGGGAAAATACAACCTTTAATTGTTTATTTCATCATCTACCAGTTGGGGGCAGTGATATAAATCTTTTGATGTTGGACAAAATACAGATTTTTTAAAAAAAAAATCAATTTTTAAAATCTCTTTTAATAGATCTTCATTTTTGTTTTTAATGTGTGTTAGGTAGAAATTATTCTAAAATATTAATATACTCGAGACCTATAAAAGTAATAATTCCTTTCATAAAACAGACAGGGAGTATTCCCAAGGAGTATTGAGGAGTAGGGTGGCATTTTTTTCAATTAAGTGTAAAATAATTTTTCTGGCTGCCATAAACGATACTACACGCCTGTATATATTTGTATATTCTTGTTTTTAAATAGTTGAAATATTTTATTTCTTTAGGCTATTGTTTATTTCTTTCTCAAATGGACTTAACTTCTCCCATAATTTTATTCATTACATCTGATGCATAAGCGACCCTTTTCTGAAGAATGATGCTAAGACTGTAAGCTATGACAGAAACCTAAACAATGTCTGACAATAGCTACCATGGGCAGTTAAACCCGTGGGAGGAAAATAATTTACAATTACATACAGTTACTTTTGAATACGGATACATAATTATCTCACCAACATGTCACTTTGCAACAAAGTCGTCAGCATTTTATTGTTCTCTGAACGGGTGAAACGTTTTGAATGGCACTCCTATCGATAAATATTTACATTAAACCAAGCTTTAGTGCTGCTATGGACTTGACACAAATCTCCCTTTATTACCCGCCATGTTCATTTAAGACCGGAAGTACGAGTTCGTAAATTTGAAATCTCGATCCCGACTCAAATTTGACATCGGAAAGAAAAAATTCTGTTTTTCTCAATTTTATTTTTTTTCTGAAAATTCAAAAACTTGAGCGGCGGGTTTGTAAACCTAAAAATAAAAAAAT